TAACGCAAAAGGGTCCTATAAATTTAGGGCCTAATTTCTTTGAAGGGCAAAGCATCCTTAAGTTAGAAGTAGACAACCAAACCTTCTCACCGGGTCGCAACACCAGATCTCCCCTTCGTCTCTTGTTGAATGCCCTCTTGTAGTCATCTTGGGCCCGAATTAGGGCTTCCTGTAGCTTCTTGTTGTTCGAGGAGAAGAACGTCAATGTATCCTGCGTTGCCGGAATTGGGCATTCTGGGACCAAGTCCGGGAGGAAGGTAGGGTGAAACCCACAATTGGAGAAGAACGGGGACTGCCCCGTTGCCGAATGGCACGCGTTGTTGTACGCGAATTCCGCCAAGGGTAGAAGTGGTATCCAGTCATCCTGGGCAAAAGATGTATAGCAGCGCAGGTACTGCTCCAGAGTCTGGTTGGTTCTCTCGGTCTGTCCGTTGGACTGAGGGTGAAATGCAGAAGAGAGGGACAGTTGGATGTTCAGAGCTTTACACAGAGCCCTCCAAAATCTTGAGGTAAACTGAACCCCTCGGTCAGAGACGATGTCTTCAGGGACCCCGTGCAGTCTTACAATCTCTCGAATGAATACTCGCGCGCAGTTTCGGCTGCCGACGGAGTCTTCCTTAATGGTATAAAGTGGGCCATCTTAGATAAACGGTCCACGGCCACAAGAATTGCTGTGTGGTCCCGTGAAGGTGGGAGCTCGACTATGAAATCCATCGAAATTTTCTGCCAAGGCCGTTCGGGAATTGGTAAAGGCCGCAGAAGACCCCAAGCCTTGCACCTTGATGGTTTGTTCCTCTGGCAGGTGATGCAGGAGTTGACGTAGTGTTTGCAGTCTTTTGCCATGTCCGGCCACCAGAAGGAGCGTCGGAGGAGCTCTAAGGTCTTGGCCGACCCAAAGTGCCCTGCCATCGGGTGGTCATGGCAATGGCCCAAGACCAGAGTTCGGATTCCCTCTGGCACCACAATCCGATCTTCCTTCCACAGGAGTCCCCCCTTGTTCTGGAGGGGCACCCCGGCTGGGATGGATAAGGCCGTGGACGCCTCCATTATCTTGGAACAAAGGTCCGTCTGGAGCGCCAAGAAGTTTCCTGAAGACAGGATAGTGTCGGGCGCTGGGGCCTCCTTGGCGTCCTCGTACATTCGTGACAACGCATCTGGCTTCGTATTCTTTGATCCCGGCCTGTATGTAATGTGGAAATTTAATCTTGAGAAGAACAGTGCCCATCTCGCCTGTCGTGGGCGTAAGCGTTTGGCGGTCCTCAGGTACTCCAGATTCTTATGATCCGTAAATATTAAGATGGGGTGTGAGGCACCTTCCAGCAGGTACCTCCATTCCTCTAACGCTGTCTTAATCGCCAGAAGTTCACGATCACCGATATCGTAGTTCCTTTCCGCCGGGGTGAGTTTCCGTGAGAAGAATGCCACAGGGTGGAGCAATATCCTGGTGCCCTTTCGCTGGGACAGGATGGATGGATGGATGGCTGAGCAGGTGCGGGGTCAGACAAGCCGGGTCGGTAACAGGGAGGACGGTATGGTACAAGGCAGCGGGCAGAGAATAGTCGGGTCACACGCCAGGTCAGCAACAGCAGGTCAGATCCAATAGGGGGCATTCAAGAGAGAGGTCAGGCAAAGCAAGGGTCAGGGCAGGAGAAATACAGCAAGGTCAAGCACAATCCGGGTCAGCAACTTACTATTCACAGGTTCGCAGATACAGGATACAGGTAAGACCAGAAGGCACTGAATGACAGCTCAGGGCCATTTAAATATCCCGCCCTGCGCTGCCATTGGTGCCCAGCGGGCGGCCGCGGCTTCTACTGCGCATGCGCGAACTCGAACGCCGCGGCCGGCCCGGACCTAATGCTCGAGTCCCAGCACAGGGCGGCACACTGCGCCTGCGCCGGGACCATCGCGGCGGAGACCGAGGGGATCCTTGACAGTAGCAAAGGTGTTGGGGCGGTTGCGGCAGCATGGTTGTACGCTAAAGCAGAGAAATGTTGCTTTGAACAGTCTAGCATTACATTTCTGGGCCTGATTATCTCCACCGCGGGGGTCGCAATGGACCCTCAAAAAGTCTCTGCAATCCTAGATTGGCCTGAACCCACAGACAGGAAAAGCGTCCAACGATTCATCGGGTTCGCAAACTTCTACCGGAAGTTCATCAAGAACTTCTCGGGTCTGGTCTCCCCCATCACTCAGTTAACCAAGCTTGGGACACGATTCAGATGGACGCCAGAGGCACAGGAAGCTTTTGAAGCATTAAAGAGGTTATTCACCTCGGCACCCATTCTGGGTCACCCTGACGCCTCCCTGCCCTACATCTTAGAGGTAGATGCGTCAGAGAACGCGGTTGGTTCCATGCTTTCCCAACGAAAGGGCGCCAAGGAATTACTCCACCCGGTAGCATTTTTCTCACAGAAACTTACCCCTGCAGAGAAGAATTACGACATTGGTGATCGAGAACTACTGGCTATCAAGACAGCATTAGAGGAATGGAGGTACCTGCTGGAAGGTGCCTCACACCCCATCCTGATATTCACAGACCACAAGAACCTGGAATATCTGAGGACCGCCAAACGTTTGCGCCCACGACAAGCGAGATGGGCATTGTTTTTCTCAAGATTCCAGTTCCACATCACGTACAGGCTGGGATCAAAAAACACGAAACCAGAAGCGTTGTCACGCATGTACGAGGACGCCAAGGAGATCCCAGTACCTGACACTATTCTGCCGGCAGGAAACTTCTTGGCCCTCCAGACGGACCTTCGCTCCAAGATAATAGGAGCATCCACAGCCATGTCTACCCCTGATGGGGCGCCCCTCCAGAACAAGGGGGGACTCCTATGGAGGGAGGACCAGATTGTGGTGCCGGAGGAAGCCCGAACCCTAGTCTTGGGACATTGCCATGACCACTCGATGGCAGGACATTTTGGCCCAGTCAAGACCCTGGAACTTCTCCGACGTTCCTTCTGGTGGCCAGACATGGCCAAGGATTGTAAGAACTACGTGGGCTCCTGTGTCATCTGCCAGAGGAACAAGCCTTCTAGGAATAAGGCTTGGGGTCTGCTACGTCCGTTACCCATTTCTGAATGGCCTTGGCAGAAGATCTCTATGGACTTCATAGTCAAGCTTCCACCTTCACTAGACCACACAGCAATTCTCGTGGACGTGGACCGTTTATCCAAAATGGCCCATTTCGTACCATTACGGAAGACTCCATCGGCAGCTGAGACGTCGCAAGTTTTCATTCGAGAGGTTGTAAGACTGCATGGGGTCCCTGAAGACATCGTCTCGGACCGAGGGGTTCAATTTACCTCGAGATTCTAGAGGGCATTGTGCAAAGCCCTGGATATCAAACTATCCCTTTCCTCGGCATTTCACCCTCAGACTAATGGACAGACCGAAAGGACCAATCAGACCCTGGAGCAATACTTGCGATGTTACACATCATTTACTCAGGACGACTGGGTGCCACTTCTCCCTTTGGCGGAATTCGCGTACAACAACGCTTGCCATTCAGCAACAGGGCAGTCCCCGTTCTTCTCCAACTATGGGTTTCACCCTGTCTTCCTCCCGGATTTGGTCCTGGAATGCCCAGTTCCAGCAACACAGGATGCACTAACTTTTTTCTCTTCAAACAATAAGAAACTACAGGAAGCCATCAGTCAGGCCCAAGAAGACTACACAAAAAGGCTTTTAACAGGAAACGAAGAGGAGATCTGGTGTTGCGGCCCGGAGAGAAGGTTTGGCTGGCTACATCTAACTTGAAGATGCTCTGCCCTTCAAAGAAGTTGTGACCTAAATTTATAGGCCCCTTTTGCATTAAGCGGATGGTCAATGAAGTGGCCTATGAACTTGTTCTCCCTGAGACACTCAAGATCCATCCAGTCTTCCACGTGTCCCTGCTGAAGCCGGTAGTCCCAGATGCCTTCCCGGAACGAGAATCCAGGCCCTCGGAGGCCATAACAGTCGAAGAGGAAGAAGAATTTGAGGTGGAAACAATCCTGAAATGCCGAATAAGGGGGGGCCAGACCCAATTTCTTATCAAATGGAAGGGCTACGGCCCTGAGGACAATTCTTGGGAACCAGCCCATAATGTCCATGCACCCAGACTTGTCCGGAGGTTTCTTTGTGACCACCCGTGGTGGGAGAGATCGGGTGGGCATCCGGAGGTTGCCCGTAGGGGGGGGGGCAATGTCAGGGATCTCCTCGATCCCCGCCGCGATGGTCCCGGCGCAGGCGCAGTGCACCGCCCTGTGCAGGGACACGGGCACTAGGTACGGGCCGGCCGCGGCGTTCGAGTTCGCGCATGCGCAGTAGAAGCCGCGGCCACCCGCTGGGCACCAATGGCAGCGCAGGGCGGGATATTTAAATGGCCCTGAGCTGTCATTCAGTGCCTTCTGGTCCTACCTGTATCCTGCGAATCTGAACCTGTTCCTAGTAAGTTATTTGACCCGGATTGCTCTTGACCTGCTGATTTCTCCTGCCCAGACCCTTGCTTTGCCTAACTTCTCTTCTGAATGCCCCTCATTAGATCTGACCTGCTGTTGCTGACCTTGCGTGTGATCCGACGATTCTCTGTCCGCTCCCTTGTACCATACCGTCCTCTACGTTACCAACTCGGCCCGTCTGACTTCGCACTTGCTCAGCCATCCATGCATCCCATCGGGGTCACCCGACCTCCTCACATCTGGCTCTCCCTGGTTGGAACCCCTGGCGAACACCCCTACCACTGACAGGTGTGCTCAGTAGTTGCGACCTGGTCTCGGGGTACTCCAAGTCCATCCCCACCATCAGGAGCTCTGGTGAACAAGTACCCTGCGGCTTAGACTCCGCGCTCTGGGCACGCCTGACTGGTGGAGTGCTAGTGGTGCCGCTAGGTGGTCCCTCACAACAGGAGATGAACGGAGACTGTGGACACAGTACAGGAGATGACCAGAGACTGCGGACACAGTACAGGGGATGACGGAGACTGCGGACACAGTACAGGAGATGACCAGAGACTGCGGACATAGTACAGGAGATGACCAGAGACTGCGGACATAGTACAGGAGATGACCAGAGACTGCAGACACAGTACAGGAGATGACCAGAGACTGCGGACATAGTACAGGGGATGACCAGAGACTGCGGACATAGTACAGGGGATGACCAGAGACTGCGGACATAGTACAGGGGATGACCAGAGACTGCGGACACAGTTCAGGGGATGACCAGAGACTGCGGACACAGTACAGGGGATGACCAGAGACTGCGGACACAGTACAGGAGATGACCAGAGACTGCGGACAGTACAGGGGATGACCAGAGACTGCAGACGGTACAGGAGATGACCAGAGACTGCAGACGGTACAGGAGATGACCAGAGACTGCAGACGGTACAGGAGACTGCGGGCACAGTACAGGAGATGATCAGAGACTGCGGACACAGTACAGGAGATGACCAGAGACTGCAGACAGTACAGGGGATGACTAAGAGACTGCTGACCTTTGGGGAGGGAGGGGGAGCAGGTACCTGAATTTGACAGGTACCCGCTCTTACTTCCGCGGAGTTGTCCTCCCTTTAGTGTGGGCAGCCGGCTGACAGCCGGGTGCCCAGTGAGCATGAGCGAGAAGCGTTGCGCTTTGTGATTGGTCCGACGCCTTCTGGGACCTGTCATGTGTCCCAGACGACGCTGTACCATTCGCAAAGTGCAGCGCTTCTCACGCATGCGCACTGGGCACCCGGCTGTCAAGCCGAGAGCCCACACTAAAGAAGCCGGCGTGGGAAGACTGTGCAGCGCTGGACCGAGGAAAAGGTGAGGTCCTGCTGCAGAGCTGAGCGGTTGGCCCGGTATTCTGACACGGCTGCGGTGGAAATACCATATTCGCTCCATAAGACGCACTGACATTTTCCCCCCTTTTTTTGGGGGGAAAAAAGTGTGTCTTATGGAGCGAAAAATACGGTATGTATATTTGATTTTGTATTTCTGGGTAGGGGGCATGCAGGTGCCACGTGCGCACCCTACCTACGTTGCAATTGGTGACTTCAACTGTTGATCACTGGTTCCCAGCTGGAGATTCCCCACTGGCACCTCACGATCGTTGAGGAACACTGATGGGGGAGAGGTCTGTATCTAAAAAATACAGATCTCTCCCCTGTCAGCTCTAGCACGCTGATTTGTATTGCTCTGCATAGCAGAGCAATACAAAGCAGTGTACTTACACAGTGAAACGCACACACTCAGCACACACAATCAGGCTCCCTGCACGCTGGGCATTTTAATAATGCTGTTAGCGTTAGCTGTGTAAAGTCACATTACACTTTTTTTCAGCATTTTTTAGTATTTTTGCATTAGCGTTTAGCGGCGTTTTGCCACATTGTTTTCAGTTTAAGTATTTTAGCTGGTTTTTTTTTTACCAAAAAAAAGTTTCCTTGCTCAAAAAAAAAACATCCAAAAACATGTCATGTCAGCCATGTTTTGCTGCTTTTTTAGCATTAGAGTGTTTTTACAGCTACAAAACCCACTAATTCTGGGGTTCCAGCTAAAAAACGCCCCTGCCAAAAAATGCTGATTACAGTCTATGTGTGCATGGACACATAGGATAACATGCTGGGGAGTTTACTGGCTGTAGAAAAAAACACCAAAAGCTCAAAACAGCCGCTGTAAAAATGTCCAGTGTGCATAAGGGCTAAAACAGCGCACTGCACACAGTTAACCCTTTGATCGCCCGAGATGTTAATCCCTTCCTGCCCAGTGCCATTAGTACAGTGTCGGTGCTTTTATTAGCACTGATCACTGTATTGGTGTCACTGGGGATGTCTGTGACAGTTAGTCAGTTCCCCCCTGTGTCAGAATGCCGGCCGCAGTCCCGCAATCCCGCTATAAGTCACTGATCGCCGCCATTACTAGTATAAAAAAAAAAAAAAAATAAAAAATTCCAGTATACATACCGCCATTTGTAGACGTTATAACTTTCATGTAAACCAGTTAATTTACACGTATTGGGATTTTTTTTAGCAAAGACATGTCGCAGAATACATTTTGGCCTAAATGTATGCCAACATTTGTTTTTTTAATCTATATTTTATTGGACATGTTTAATAGCAAAAAGTCAAAATTATTGTTTTTTTTTTCTCAAAATTGTCGGTCTTTTTTTGTTTATAGTGCAAAAAAAAAAAAAATACAGAGGTGATCAAATACCACCGAAAGAAAGCTCCATTTGTGTGAAAAAAAGGATGTAAATTTTAATTTGGGTACATTATTGCATGACTGCGCAATTGTCAGTTAGAGTAACACAGTGCCGTATTGCAAAAATGGACAGGTCAAGAAGGGAAGTAAATCCGCTCTCCAGCGGATTTACTTACCTTCTTGACCTGCCCATTTCAAGTGGTTAATGAGCCCTTGAAATGACTACAAACTTTGATATCCCGTATTTTCCATAGGCAACACTTTAAAATTACCTGCAGGTCCTTTTATTTTAGCATTAACAGTGAGTAATGGGCCTTTAATTATTGCTCTCACTCTGGTGTTCATGGCAATATGCAACTTGTAGTGCAATCCACAGTTTCACGCACTCCCCGACATGTGTATTAATGTTCATACATGTGTTATGTGGCGTTGTTTTTTTTAAAAAAAGATTCGGGGGATTTAAGTGCTTGGGTGTAACTTTAATTTTTTACACTTTTTTCACTAAACTTTTTTTTTTTTATCACATACGGGACAAAAAGTATTCATGTGATGATTTTTTAGTGGCAGGTTCTCTTTTGAGACATTGAGGTCTAAAAGAAGCAGACAACACAATACATCTGGGGTATAAAAGACACACGTGACATAAGTAGCGCTACTTCTGTAGGAATACTGTCCAGGCCCTCCCCAGTTACTTTGCCCTGCAGCCATGCACATGGGCTCCTTCACTCATTTCTCCAGTATTCAGTCTAGGGGTATAGTTTTTGTTGGTTTTGTTTTTGAAGAATTGGGAAATGGATGAGAGAGATGAGTGGGATACTCCAAATTAGGAAGTATGTACATTGAGGACTGTGTCTAATCTTCAGGATACGCACATGTGCATTAATGTTCATATATGTGTTACGTGGCATTGGGTTTTTTTAAAAAGATTCAGGGAGGGGGGGTTAAATGCTTGGGTGTAACTTTAACTTTTTACACTTTTTTCACTAAACTTTATTTGTTATCACATACAGGACAAAAAGTATTCATGTGATGATTTTTTTTGTGGCAGGTTCTCTTTATTGAGACATTGTGGTCTAAAATAAAGCAGACAACACAAGACATCTGGGGTATAAAAGACACACGTTACATATGTAGTGCTGCTTCCGTAGGATTACTGTCCAGGTCCTTCCCAGTTACTTTGCCCTGCAGCCAGGCACATGGGCTCATTCACTCATTTCTCCAATATTCAGTCTAGGGGTATTGTTAAATTAGGAACTATGTACATTGAGGACTGTATCTAAAGTTCAGAATGAGCTGTATTGGGGTCCTTGATTTAATCAAACAGTGGACTTCAGCTTAAGGCAATAGCAACAAGTAGTAATAATAACAGCAGTAACTTCTTTAGAGCCCCGGAGCAGCGTTCCTTTAAGTAGTGGACAGATGGACATAGCTCTTTAGAATACCAGCCAGTATCCCCTTTGCTAGACCCTCCGTTGATTTTCTAGTGATGGAGGGGGTTAAACAGCACACAGTCTCTAAGATCCTTTGGGATTATCTGTACTCACAAGGCCAAAGAGCAATTCTATGCCTTCCTCCGTGATACCAGACCAGATGTTCAATAAACAGCCCCTGAGTCAGCATAGTGGAATCTGGGTTTCAGCAATTCAGGCCCTCAGTTTGCCCTCAGGTTGCCTACGACAGCAGCTCCTTGGAGGGCAACTTGCCTTCTCTCAGGTCTGAACAATCCAATCCAGGACCGACCCAGATCCCTATGTGCCCACAGTTATATATATATATATATATATATATTAAACCAGCATGCCTTATAGCCCCTCTCTCTGGGATAGTTACATAGTTAGTCTGGCTGAAAAAAAGACAAAAGTCCATCGGATAGGATAGGCTGGGGATAGGCTGCTGCTGTATTCATGCTGCCATCTACATAACATAGCTCCACAGCTATCATCCAGACACTTCTGCAGTTTCATGGATTCCGAGGAAGCTAGGCAGACTAGCAGCACCTGACCATACAGAACAGACCTAAATAAATGATCACTGCTCACCCAGTACAGTGAGCTACCTATACTTTTTCCTAACAAAATTTACAGCCACTCTGACTACCAAGTGAAAACTAAATTTACATATCAAAAGCATAATTAATCCTATCTATCTAATCCTAGCATCCACATAAACATCTAGGGTATAAAAGACACATACCTTTTGTAGCTACTGCCACTGAGAATGTGTGGAAAACTCCCTATCACCTCTGCTGTAATATGTACGTCAGTGGTGATAAAGGGGTTAAGATGATGTCAGATAGAAAGCAGGGGTTTTTATCTGCTACTTCTCCCCATTGCTGTGGGTTAGATGCAGTCCCCTGTTTGGCTTTAGAAGAGTGTGTTGCTTTATGAAGCAAAGAACAGTCACATGACTGCTGCAGGGCTCTGTGTACCAGGGAAGCCCAGTGGAGGAATAATTTGTCCTCTGCATTAGGCTTCAACAGTCATATTTTTCTATCTATCTATCTATCTATCTATCTATCTATCTATCTATCTATCTATCTATCTATCGTGACACGGGGGATTATTAGCTCTAGTGGTAGATGCGTTTTCAAGTAAGTTTACATCAGTCAGGAACTATATTTAGGGGCTCGGTAGCCCATGTTTATTGAAAAAGGCTCACTTGAGAACCCCTCCTGAGCCTTACCATGCCACAATCCCTCGACATGAGGGGGGGGTGCTTCGGGACAAGGGCCTCTTCCCCACAACCATGGCCAGTTGTTGTGGGAGTCTGCAGGCGGGGGGCTTATTGAAACCTGGAAGCTCCCTTTAACAAGGGGGATCCCAGATCCTGCCCTCCCCCGATGTGAATGAGCATGGGGTACATGGTACCGCTACTTATTCACAAAAAAAAGTGTAGTGTAAAAATTAAAGGAGACAGTCTTTGACAAGTCCTTTATTAAAAACAATAATTAGAAAAATATCCCTCGAAGTAGATCCAACATCAATCACGATGCCCGCCGCTACTACCGACCCAAAAAAAGAAAAAAGAAAAAAAAAAGTCCCTCTCCCGAAGTTTTTAAATAGTGTGATGAAGTCACAAGGGGGGCGTAGTCACCCTGCCAGCTTGTGACATCATCATGTGCTGTGATTGGCCAAAGCATTGCACCTGACCTGTGGTCAGGTGCATTGCTGTGGCCAATGAAAATGCACTGTCATGGCCCAGTGCATTGTGGGGCGTGGCAGGTGAACAGCCTGACGATCACCCTTACCATTTGTGTGCTCATCAAACACACGAATGGCCCATGTACGAGGCGAACTTATGTTCGACTTGAACATGA